GCAGTAGCGTATTTAGGGGCAGGCTATGAGGCTAGAGCCTAGGGCGGCTTTTTGGGGTAGGCGGCTTATTTTTATAATCAAGAGATAGGTAGATACTTGGAAAAATTATTTTAATACATTTTATAAATTAATATGTTTTGATTATTGATACATATGACATGCCATTTAACAAGTTCATGTGAAATAAATTTATGGATGTTTTCTAAAAATATAACTGTTATCGGAAAAGATAACAATAATATTGTACTTATTGCCACTAATTGTCTACCACGATTAAAGATATTATTTAATCGTGATGTCTACCCGCGTCTATTCTTCTGATTCACTGTAACAGAAAGTTATTGTATATTTTTACTATTATTAGCAATAATTGATAATTTTGCGTTCAATAAACGTAAAACTTTTATTTATTTTAAATTCATTTTAACGTTGACAACGTACGCGAGTAGTTTGGAACTGGATATCATAACATTTTAAGCCAAGCCAAGTCATTCCGATAAGGTAAATATTTAATTATTATTTTATTTAAGCTTCTAGGGAACTAATTTATAATTTATAAACAGTTTTATAAATATTCTACGTCGCTTACATATTATAGATATTTTAAATTGCTTAAACTAATTTTTTAAAAATTTTATCTATTGTAGCATTTAATACATTATATTTTTTTTATTTTTGGTCAAATTTTGTTAATAAATTAAAGTTTGCAGTACATTCATTTTATATTTTCATACAGTTATTACTAGGGCTAGGATTTGTATGCAATAAAAATTGTACAATATGCATTTTAGTTTTTGAAGGATACACACAAAAATATATTTATTTCAAGAAATGCATCATTGATTAGCTGATTATCATAAAATACATAATTAAAAATTAAAAATTATTTATTTATTTTTAGCTTAGATTAATTTTATTATTATTTATTATCTTAGTAAAAAAATCTATAATTCTCAAATATTAATGATCGGTGAACGTATATAGAACATAATAATATATTGTACCATAGGATTGTATTTATAAAAATAAAATTGATGTTTGACCATAAACAAAGTTATATACTTTGATCAGTTTAATTATTATCGACTTAAATACAATAATTCGATCATACTATATATGCAAAAAAAACAATGCAAAATAAAAATAGTACCATTTTCATCACAATAATATAAATCGTGGATATTACTCACTTAAATTCCGTTTGGACGTAGTAAAAAAACATGCTGCTTCATACAAATCCTAGCCCTGATTATTACCAATTACTATGAACATTGAATATAATGTTTTAAGTTATAATGTTATAACTTCTAAATTTTACAGGGTACATTTTTTTGTTATAATAAATAGTGCACCCGCTAGAAGGTCAATTTATTATAGTTTTAATATAATGATATTAGATTTGATAATTATATTATAAATTTAAATATCGAAGCATTCGCTTCATTTAAGTCCCAATATAGGGTTATATAAAGGTAAATATAAATTTTAAATCAGTTGCCTTTTTTTTTTTTTGTAAATTTAGTTTCGAAGTCTTGAAAGTATAATATTGCATAATCAATATGAAAAGAACTAAACTAAGTGGTGCTCAGTACAAACGATTATCAAAAGAAAAAAATGAAATACAAAAAAAAGTATTAAGTCAAACAAAAAAATTGGATTCGTTTTTTCCTTCTAATAAAAATTGTTCAAATATATCCGAATTAAAAACTGACTGTTCTGTGAATGACTCTGGTGAAATTCCTTTTGCAAATTTGAACTCTCCTGAACAGACTAGTAATATTATAAATTACATCGATAAAAATAAATTAGAATATTCAAAAAATTCTGAACAAATTATCGATAATATAAGTAATACTGGAAATAGTACTTCTAAAAATTTAAATATTGTTTTTGACCAATCAGTTGATAGAGTAGATGGCGAAATGTATGACACCACCAGTGGTAGTTTTGAAAATTCAAATATTGTTGAAAAAATAGTTGATAGTGTGAATATTGATAAATGTATTTCTGTAAGCAATGATGCGTTTGAATCAAATCATAAGAATAACAATGTATTTTTCGATAAAGACCCTGCGTTATGGATATGTAATGAAATGACTCGTGATCACTTTGTCGTACACGGTTTTCATCAGAATAAAGATGTTGATTTATCCAAATCCAAAAGACAATATTCTGATCAAATAAGGTACTTAAACAAGCGTGTTTTTGTAAAAGTACTCAAAAATGGAGAAACGTGTGATAGGACATGGCTAGTATATTCTGAAAGTTTAGGAAAAGTTTTTTGTGGTCCTTGTTTATTATTTAATCATGGAAATAACAATTTACTAGCGTCAACAGGATATGATGACTGGAAAAATGCAAATGTACGCCTTAACCAACACGAAAATTCAAATATTCATAAACAAAGTATTTTAATAATGAATGATAGAAGACATATTAGTTGCCGTGTAGATAAACAGATTGAGTCCCAAATAAATGAAGAAATAAATTATTGGCGTAATATTTTACATAGATTAGTGGTTATTACTCAGTCATTGTCTTCTCGTGGTTTATCATTTCGAGGACATGATCAAAATATAGGGTCAATTCACAATGGTAATTTTTTAATGGTCGTTGAAGTTTTGGCAAAATTTGATCCATTTATGTCTCAACACATTGCAAAATACGGTAACAAAGGTAGTGGATCGACTTCATATTTATCTTCTACTATTTATGAGGAACTTATACAACTTATGGCTAATAAAGTAACTTCTAAAATTATAGACGAAATAAAAAAAAACAAATATTTTTCTATAGTGTTAGATTCGACTCCTGATTTTTCTCACTCTGATCAGTTATCTATTATCTTACGCTACGTTCATCAGGGTGTCCCAGTTGAACACTTTTTGACTTTTATTTCTGGATGCAGTCATAAATCTCAACAGCTTTGTGAAGTTGCTTGTAACACTTTAAAAAAATTTAACATCCCCATTGAAGATTGTCGGGGTCAGTCATATGACAATGCCAGCAACATGTCAGGACAATATACAGGACTACAAGCAAGAATAAGAGAAATAAATCCTCTTGCTGTGTATGTCCCATGCGCTGCGCACTCGCTGAATTTAGTTGGAGTCCATGCTGTAGAATGTTGTCCTGAAGCTACTAATTTTTTTTGTAATCTACAGCATTTATATACTTTCTTTTCTGCTTCAACTCATAGATGGGATATTTTAATGACTCATTTCAGCTCTAAATCTAAAACATTGAAACGAATTAATACTACAAGATGGAGTTCAAGGGATGATGCTTGTCTCAGCTATAATGAGTCTTGGAATGAAATAATAAATGCTCTGTCAGAAATAGAAAAAGAAAATAGTGAAACACCAGAAACTCGAAGTGAAGCAGCTGGGTTACGTCATAACTTTGAATACTTGGAAACTAATTTTATGGCAATTTTATGGGGTTTTTTACTAAATAGATTAAATGCTGTAAGCAAAAAATTACAAAGTATTGAAATCGATGTAGTCATTGTTTTGGAGTTATATGATTCATTAATTGAACTTATACGTTCACAACGTAATGAATTTGATAATTACGAAGAGAAAGCACTTATTCGATCTACAATAAAACAGTATAAAACTAGTATATCAAGAAAAAAAAAGAAAAAAATTCAATACGATGAAAATAGAACTGGTGACACTGATCTTAATGAAAAGGATAACTTTAGAATAAATTCGTTTATGGTAATTCTTGATGTTTTAGGAAATGAATTATTAAAAAGACGTCAGGCTTATAATTCATTCTGTGAACCCTTTTTTTTCTTGACAAGATTATTTGAATTGAATCCATGTGAGATAAAACATAAATCAAACAACCTCTGGAAAATATATCCAAATGATATTGATCGTGAAGACTTGCAAACGGAATTATTACATTTAAAAGATCATTTACTTATTAAATTTGGTCCAAAAACACAGTCTCCTTTAAAATTAATAAAATTTATTTTTGAAAATGAACTTAAAAAAGTATACCCGAATGTAGAAATTATTTTAAGAATTTTTGTTTGTACACCTGCAACTAATTGTTCGGCCGAAAGATCGTTTTCGTGCCTCAAAAGGATTAAAAATTATCAAAGATCGACAATGAGCCAACAGAGATTAAATGCTTTAGCAACATTGTGTATTGAAAATAAAATTACAACAGAAATGGATTATGAAGACATCATAAAAGCCTTTGCGGAACAAAAAAGCAGAAGAAAAATAATTCTATAATATTTAATTTTAGGTATTTTAATGAAAAAAAATGTTTTCACAAATATTTGTAACATTTAAAAAAAGGTAATTATTTAATAAATTTAAAGTTTTTTTTATATACGATTTTGCTATTGATATTATTTATGTTGACTATGATTATATATTATGTTGATTTTTTACTTTCCATTGTTATGAAACTGTACAAGAGTCGTATTGACAATTAAAAAAAAACTATTAGGCCTGCAGAAGCATGTATTTTTTTAAATTTGTTTGTTTTAAAGATTTAATATAAATTATTTTAATAAAAATGTGCATACAAAAATTTATCATGAAAGGTTCAGACCAAATATTGTTGATTCTTTGGTGTCACGAGGTAAGGATAGGAGCGCCAGAATAATTTAGCCTATGGGTGCCAAAAAGCTAAATACGCCACTGACTAGAAGTATGTTAATTATTCGCCAGCTTATAGGTCTAAACGCATGAAAAATCCAATCGTTTAGAGCCCCCTTAATAGAAGTCGTAATTCTACTTTTTCGTTACCTATTTGTTGAAAATTCGACACCCAAAAAATCTAAAATATGTATTAAATCGCCTATAGACAATAAATAATAAAGATACAAACATTTTGGTACAGAAAGTAATTAAATTTTTTTTTCTAGGGAATTCTGCAAAAATTCCTTTTCTGTAAGTTTTTTTTCGAAGTTCTAATTATTACGATTTATCTTTAAGATTCAAGGTTGGTTATTATACTTACAGTAAATTAAATTAAATAAGTTACTTAAAAATATATGGAGGACTGTTGTCTCTATTTCACGAACCAAACTCGACTGATTAGCTATATCAATCTCGTACTCAACGATTTTGTGCAATTCTGACCTAAGCAAAAATCGCAGAATGCAGCATAAATAATGGGTCAGTATAACATGAATATCGTCACAACATATACAAAATATTAAAGGTAAAATGAAGAGTTAAACTATTTTGTTCTACAAAATTTGATTTTTTGATAAAAAATAAATAAACATAAATAAATATACATAGCACTGTGTAATTAAATTTTATTATATGGTATAATATATTGGGGAGACTCTCATAAAACATTTTTTAATTCACTGTATATATTACCCAAAACTTGACTATACAAGTATCATACCTACTTATTTCCATTAAAATACTCATTAAAGGAATTATTCAACAATACAAATATATTATCTATGTATTTATAAATTATACATGAGGCAAATTTTAATAAAATCTATACAATACTATGCACTAAATGCTATGGAAATAAGACAGAAAAACAGGAAAATACATTAAACCATTGTAACAAGTTCTAGGAACTCTTCCGATTACACGAGAAAAACTATTTTCAACAATTTAAATAATGAAGTAAAGAATCTAATGGATAAGTTTATGTGAAAATAAATCTAATAACTCCAATGATATAATTAATAAAAATAAAATAAAAAAATTAATTCATAAAATATATAATAATCTTGATGAGAATGCGTGTATTAATACAATTATAAGAGCGCTTTCAGACGAGACACTTTGTGGCCGACTACTTGTGTCTGAAAAGAATCGCGCGACTAAAATAAACGTTGCTATAAATAGAAGCGTACACATGAGACACAGACACCGTGTAAGTGTCGCGCCACCGATTTTGTGTGTCTCATCCCTTCTAGTGGCCAGACACAGTGTCGGAGTCTCGGCCACTGATAATATATGAATTTAAATTAGTACGTTTAAGCGAGACGTGTTTCAGAACAGAACCACTCTAATTATTTATTTTTTTTTATTAATTACCAAAATTAAAAAAAAATTAAGTACCTAAGTAAGTATGAGTTTTGATACTGACAAATTAATAATAGAAATTGAAGTCGCCCTTCATTATGGGATACATTGCATACCGATTATGCTAATAAAATTATTAAACAAGACAGCTGGAACGATGTTTGTCGAATTTTTAAGGAAGGATTTGATTCTATGGACGCAAAGGAGAAGAATAACTATTATAAGTATCTAAATATTTTAATATACCTCTCACCTCTTTTAATATTAATAGTACACTGTAAATTTTCCAATACAATTATAAGGATAGTTGTCCGTATAATTTTATGCCATGTGTATAATACCGCCGTGAAGTTGGCACCCCGACTTTGTCGTATCATCTTCAAACTGTATTGTACTTCTTCGGTTACATTGTAAACAAATTAAAAGATCTTATAAATTATATTTCTAGATTATTTATAGATATGAATCTAATACTTAATACAAATAAAACTTGGTTCAAAAAGAATGATATCAATAAAATAAAGAGTAAATATTACGATCGAAATTTATTTCCTATAATATTAATATACTATTCAGTTTTGTGTTTTAAGTTTACATGTCCAATTGAGTTATAAATTTTATTGTATTATTTGATAGGTACATATATTAGTATGAGTGTTACATAATATGCAGGCTGAGTAAGTTGCAAAATATGGTACTAGTTTGAGGCATTACAAAGTCGGGGTGCAACGTGAACTGCACCTAACCAATTTTCCTGCTGGCGTAAAAAGTGTTGCAAATTTTTGGTGTTGCAAATTGTTGCAATTAATTTGCAATACGGTACTAGTTTGAAGATGTGACAAAGTCGGGGTGCGAACGTGAACGCTTGAACTATATTTCAATTGGGGTTGTGGAACCATGTTGCAAATTTTTGTTGCAAATTGTTGCAATTAATTTGCAAAATACGATTTT